TTCGAAAAATTAACATTAAGAAATCGAAAACTTGAAAAATCGACAAATCGAAAGGCAAAACTGGTAAAACAAAAAAAAAGAATCGAGAAATCGGGAAAGTGAAAGATCTAAAGTTTAAAAAAAATGAAATATGTATTAAAACATTTACAAAATCGCGAAATCTCGAAGCATCAAAAAAAGGTAAAGTCGAAAAATGTAATAAAAATTGAAAAATAAAAAAACGAGAAATCGAGAAATCAAAAAACCTAAAATTCATGAAATCGGGTTTGAAGAATCGAAAAATTGAATAATTGAAAAATAAAAAATTTAGAAATTGAACAATTGAGAAACCGAAATAATTGAAAATTTTAAAATCAAAAAATTCTACAAACGATTAACCGAAAAGAAACATATTTTAATTTTAGGGTTTTTTGTTTTTTGATTCTCCACTTTCTTGGTTTTTCAAATTTTCGATTTCTCAATTTTTCGATTTCAAAATTTTTTCATTTTCCAAATTTTCAATTTTTGGGGTTTTTGATTTCCCGATTTTTCGGTTATTCAATTCTTCAATTTTTTACTTTGTTTAATTCTTCGCCTTTCAATTTCTCGTTTTCTCAATTTTTCAATTTTTCGTTTGATATTTCGATTTCTCTAGTATTCAAATTTTTATTCTTCATTTTCTCGATAGTTTTATTGTTCAAGTTTTTAAATTTTGGATTTTTCGATTAGTCGATTTTTAATTTTTCAATTTTTTGAAATTATAGATATTTTGGTTTTAAATTTTCAATTTTCCGATTTTATTTGTTGTTGAGTTTCTCATTTTGGGATTTTTCAATTCGTTCGTCGAAGTCTAAATAATCCAAATGAAAAATTAAAAACTGAAAAATTTTAAATATCGAAAATTTTAAAAATAAAAAATCGAGAGATTGAACAATCGAAACACCAAATAATTGAAAAATCTAAGAATTGAAAAATCCAAAAATGAAACATTTTAAAAATCGAAAGATCGAGCAATCGAAACATTAACAGAAAAGAAAAATATAGAATTTAAAAAATGAAAAAATTAAAATATCGAAAAATTGAAAAATTTCGAAAAATTAACATTTAGAAATCGAAAACTTGAAAAATCGACAAATCGAAAAGCAAAACTGGTAAAACAAAAAAAAAGAATCGAGAAATCGGGAAAGTGAAAGATCTAAAGTTTAAAAAAAATGAAGTATGTATTAAAACATTTACAAAATCGCGAAATCTCGAAGCATCAAAAAAAGGTAAAGTCGAAAAATGTAACAAAAATTGAAAAATAATAAAAAAACGAGAAATCGAGAAATCAAAAAACCTAAAATTCATGAAATCGGGTTTGAAGAATCGAAAAATTGAATAATTGAAAAATAAAAAATTTAGAAATTGAACAATTGAGAAACCGAAATAATTGAAAATTTTAAAATCAAAAAATTCGACAAACTGAAAAACCTAAGAATTGAAAAATCGAACGATTGAGCAATCGAAACATTAACCGAAAAGAAACATATTTTAATTTTAGGGTTTTTTGTTTTTTGATTCTTCACTTTCTTGATTTTTCAAATTTTTGATTTCTCAATTTTTTTATTCTTCGATTTCTCGATTTTCCGATATTTCAGTATCACGATTTTTCAATTTTTTGATTTTTCCATTTTTCGATTTAAAAATTTTTTCATTTTCCAAATTTTCAATTTTTGGGGTTTTTGATTCCCCAGTTTTTCAGTTTTTTATTTTCTCATTTCTCAATTTTTGACTTTTCGATGTTTCAGTTTCTCGACTTTTCGGTTATTCAATTCTTCAATTTTTTGATTTTTGACTTTGTTAATTCTTCGCTTTTCAGTTTTTCGTTTTCTCAATTTTTCAATTTTTCGTTTGATATTTCGATTTCTTTAGTATTCAAATTTTTATTCTCCATTTTCTCGATATTTTTATTATTCAAGTTTTTAAATTTTGGATTTGTCGATTAGTCGATTTTTAATTTTTCAATTTTTTGAAATTATAGATATTTTGGTTTTAAATTTTCAATTGTCCGATTTTATTTGATGTTGAGTTTCTCAATTTTGGAATTTTTCAATTCGTTCGTCGAAGTCTAAATAACCCAAATGAAAAATTAAAAACTGAAAAATTTTAAATATCGAAAATTTGAAAAATAAAAAATCGAGAGATTGAACAACCGAAACATCAAATAATTGAAAAATCTAAGAATTGAAAAATCCAAAAATGAAACATTTTAAAAATCGAAAGATCGAGCAATCGAAACATTAACAGAAAAGAAAAATGTAGAATTTAAAAAATGAAAAAATTAAAATATCGAAAAATTGAAAAATTTCGAAAAATGGAATACTGAAACATTAAGAAATCGAAAACTTGAAAAATCGACAAATCGAAAAGCAAAACTGATAAAACAAAAAAAAAAAAGAATCGGGAAATCGGGAAAGTGAAAGATCTAAAGTTTCAAAAAAAATGAAATATAACATATTTTAATTTTAGGGTTTTTTGTTTTTTGATTCTTCACTTTCTTGATTTTTCAAATTTTTGATTTCTCAATTTTTCGATTTAAAAATTTTTTCATTTTCCAAATTTTCAATTTTTGGGGTTTTTGATTTCAAGATTTTTCGGTTTTTTATTTTCTCATTTCTCAATTTTTCGACTTTTCGATGTTTCAATTTCTCGGTTTTTCGGTTATTCAATTCTTCAATTTTTTGATTTTTTACTTTGTTAATTCTTCGCTTTTCAATTTCTCGTTTTCTCAATTATTCAATTTTTCGTTTGATATTTCGATTTCTCTAGTATTCAAATTTTTATTCTTCATTTTCTCGATATTTTTATTGTTCAAGTTTTTAAATTTTAGATTTTTCGATTAGTCTATTTTTAAATTTTCAGATTTCACTTGATGTTGACTTTCTTAACTTTGGACTTTTTCAATTTCTTCGTCGAAGTCTAAATAACCCAAATGAAAAATTCAAAACTGAAAAATTTTAAATATCGAAAATTTGAAAAATAAAAAATCGAAATATTGAACAATCGAAAATCGAACGCATGAAAATCTCGTTAAATCGCGAAATTAAAACATCAAATAATTGAAAATTTTTAAATTTTTAAAAAATCGAAGAATTAAAAAATCCAAAAATGAAACAGTTTCAAAATCGAAACATCGAGCAAAAAAAACGGGACATCGAAAATTCCAAAATTTATGAAAGTAAAATTGCAAAATTGAAATGTCGAAAAATTGAAAAGTCGAATCATCGGAAAAGTCGGAAAAACGAGAAACCAAAAAAATCGAAATGGCCGAAACGAAAAGTTAGAAATTGCAAAACTTTCAATAAAAAAATCGATAATTCGAGAAATTGACAAACCGAGGAATCGAAAAACAAAGAATCGAAAAATTGAGAATTCAAAAATTAAGAAAGCGAGAAATATAAAATTGAGAAATCGAGAAGTAGAAAAATCCAAGACGAAAAATCGAAAATTTAAAATATCAAAAAATTGAAAAATGCAAAAACTGAAAAATGGAAAAGTCGAAAAATTGAGAAATTGATGCATCTAAAAGACGAGAAATCAAGAAGTCGAAAAGTCGAGAAATTGAAAAATCGACAAATGATAAAAGCGATTAATCAGGAAATAGAGAATTTGAAAACTTTAAAAATCGAAAGCTTAGAAACACCAAAAATTATTTGAAACATTGAAAAATTTTAAAATCGAAAAATTGAAGAATAAAAATTTGAAAAATCCTGATACTGAAACATCGGAAAGAAATCGTAAAATTAAAAAATTGAGAAATCGAAAGTTTGAAAAATCGCAAAGCCGGAAATCGAATATTCGGAAATGATTATATAATATTGATTTTTTCCCAAAAATTTCGATGTCTAGAATAAAAATTCAACACGGATTCATAAATCACAAGTGCAAAAGTACGTTAGTGTATAAAATTTAGTGTCACAAAATTTGGAGACGTCGTTTTGTTGTTGGTGGGGATGGTCGGACAAATTTTGGTTAGAGTTTTGCCGTCTACATGAAATTCCTAACATAGGGGTCACGAAACGTCGAGAAAACATGAAAGTGGCCAGTCGCCCGATAGGCTCGATTACTCAACGTACTTAGCTTACGCTCGGGAAGTAAAAAATCCAGGAGATTTTATATTATCAAATAATCGCCCTAAACTTAAAACCGCTAAACAAATAAATCCGATAAATATGGTAAATATTTGACCTTTGAAGAGCAAATTTATCTGATTAATGATTGCAGTCAAACAAAAAGTTTCGCAATTTCGCTTGACAGTTTGACGTTTGAAATTCAACTTTGAACGACGGTGATGGTAAGATGAACAGTGTAAAAGTACACGCTCGCAACCTTTGTAATATGACGTAAAAAAAAAAAAAATGTTGGCAATGCCACCGCTACTGGTTTAGACAGTTCGGATCAAAGATCAAAGTGCCAAATAGCAGCAATGCCAACACCAGTATTTAAAAAATAAATGCCAAAAATGCCCAGCTACGCCACTGGACACAATAAAACCATGATAAAGAATATAAATTTAATTGGTTCTTTTTTTCGTTTAAAGTTTGTTTTTTGGTGGCGCCCAAACCGCGACCTCGACCCCACCAAAATGTAAATATAAACCGTACTTTAAGTACTTCACTATCATTGTTATCAGCACCTGATGTAATCACTTGAAAACGTTCAACGGTAAATAAAGTAGCAGCGATCAGTTTTCAACGTTAATTTATCGCTTTTAAAACGCCTCAAATTACTTATTAAAATCAACCAATGGCAAGCTAAACATCGTTAAACCCGACTAAACAAATACACAATCCAGGAGCGTAGAGTCGGAACCGGCTACCAACAAACCAAATCTCCCCATGTTCTTCGCCACAAAAAGCCGCCGCACACTCTGATGCTTCCGGCGTGAATCACGCACCTCCGTCCGAAAACCAACACACCATAAATCAGTCAACGCACGCAAATCTGACTAAATTTAACCCCAAAAAAACGAAAAATCTCACCTAGAGTCTTCATGAACTCGTCGAAATTCTCGCTCGACGCCAACTTGTACTTCTTCCCCAATTGCGCGTCCACCATTTCGGCACTGTTTAATTCAAAGACTGTAAAAAAAACTAAAAATAAAAATAATCGCGACATTCTTGCACGAGCCATCTCCAACTTACACCCTGTTTCAAAGCCGGTCGTGACGCGAATAAAACAACGGAACGTCGCCTCGGGTCGAAAGCGAATCGTGGGACGCGATTATCGCATCTATTTTATACGGACAGAGCGGCCAGGCATGGGCGTACGTGTGGCATGACTTTAGGGGCATGCGCCATATGGCAGAGCGGGTTATTAAAGATTTTTTGAGAAGGGGAGGGAGCGACCGCATGCGGTAAAGGGAGACAAATTTCGAAAAAAAAACGGTGTAGGGCACGATGTGGCAACAGCGCAATGTATGTGTTTGACGGAAATCTGGAAAACAAGTAGTCGAGGTGAGGTGGTTTTAATTTTATGTATTTGAGGATATAAGCAGAGTCAATGTTTGAGTTTAATCCGGGCGACAAGAGAAAATATTGGTGGTAATTGGGTAACACGGCTCAGTAGGCTGGGTAAAGTGACACTTTTAAAATATATATGTATTGGCTGGTATTTGGTTTTATTGCATTGGTGTAAATCAAGTCAATTTTTTATCACTGTGATAAGGCAACAATAAGTTATAAAGTAAAACGTAAGATTGATGGAATACTTACGGAATTACAGTAAAAATAATTTTATTAAATTCACCGCACAGTTGTCACGGTGTGACATTTGGTCATGGCCTCCTGGGCAAGCGGTGCGTTTCCTTGTATAATGAATGAATGATTTTTGTTTAATTTTGCAACGCTCACTTGAAAATATTTACTGTTTGTATAAATTAAAAAATAAAACATACTGACGTTTCACCTTCGCGTTTTTCTGCACGGTTCAGCTTTAACAAAATATAACAAGGTGTAAAAGTAAATATTTTGAAATAAAATGCAAAGTTATTTTTTGATCACGTTTAGATATAGAGATATTTTTACACATTTGTTTTGTTTTCTGAAAGACTCTTTTTACTTCGCGGGCGTAAGCTAGTACTTTCATGTTTTCTGGACGTTTCGTGACCAATAGAGGACGAAAAAATAGGTCCCTCGTTTGTGGTTGATGAATCCGTGTTGAGTGAAAAATTTAAATTGTGCAACAACATTTTACAATTTAATTTTGAAATTGCAAAATTTAATGCTGAAGTCCCGCAAAATTTATCCGTTGATATTTTTATTTCAGACATCGAGATTTTTGGAAAAAATTCAAAGTTTACGATTTCTCGATATTTAGGCTATCGAATTCCGAATTTTTCCATATTTCAGTGTTAGGATTTTTTAGTTTTTCTCGATTTTTCATTTATTCAATATTCTAGTTTCGGGATTTATCAATTAAATTTCTCGATTTTTTAAATATTTCTCATTTTTTTATTTTTCGATTTTCCAATGTTGCAGTACATAGGTATTTCGATTTTTCAATTTTTCCATTATTCGAATTTTCAATTTTTGTCGTTTCTAAATTCGATCTCTAAATTTTTCGGTTAATCATTTTTTTAAACTTCGATTTTTTGATTTCTCGAGTTTACGATTGATTTTTCGATTTTTCTATTTTTTGATTTTCCCATTTGTCGATTTCCCGACTTTTTCAGTTTTTTAGTTCTTCTGATTTTGTAGAAATTTGAGTTCTCAAATTTTCCAATTTTTTTATTTTGGATTTTTTAATTTTTGATTTACGATTTCAATGTTTAGATTTTTAAGTTTTTCAAATTTTCGACTTTTCGATTTTTCAAATCAACGCTTTTACAATTTTTGTATTCTTCGATTTCTCGATTACAAATTTTTTTCATTTTTCATACATAATTTCAATTTTTGGGGTTTCTAAGTTTTTGATTTCTCGATTTTTCGAATTCTGGATTTCTTCATTAATCGACTTTTCGACTTCGATTTTCCGATTTTTTGATTGTTGTAATTTCTCAATTTTTCAATTTTTCATTTTTTAGAATTTTCAGCTTTTCGATTTTATATATTTTGAATTCTCTATTTTTGAAATTTTTATTCTTCAATTTCTCGATATTTTTATTGTTCAAGTTCGTAAATTTTAGATTTTTCGATTTGTCAATTTCTCGATATCTCAATTTTTCAGTTTTTTGTTTTTTGAAAGTATAGATATTTCGGTTTTAAATTTTCAATTATCCGATTTTTTTAATTTTGGATTTTTTGATTTTGGGTTACGATTTTTTGATTTTTCGATTGTTCAATTTCTCCATTTTTCAATTTTTCCAAATACTGATTTGTTTAATTTGAAAATTTTCACGATTTTTACATTTTTCAAATTCTCGCTTTCCCGATTTCTCGGCTTTTGGATTTTTCGTTTTTGCAATTTTTTAATTTCGATTTTTATAAATTTTAGATATTTCGATTTCTCGGCATTTCGATTTTTCAGTTTTTTGATTTTCCAATTTTTCCATTTTTCAATTTCGATTTTTATAAATTTTACACTTTTCAATTTCCCGATTTCTCGTTTTTCCGATTATTCTGTTTTTAGATTTTTCATTTTCCGATTTTTTAAATTTTACAGTTTTCGATTTTTCAAATTTTAAATTTCTCAATGTTTTGGTTCTTCAGTTTTTTGATTTTTCAATTTTTCGAATTTTCAATTTTTGTCATTTCTAAATTCGATCTCTAAATTTTTCGATTAGTCGATTTTTTAGACTTCGATTTTTTGATTTCTCGAGTTTTCGATTGATTTTTCGATTTTTCTATTTTTTGATTTTCCCATTTGTCGATTTTCCGACATTTCCATGTTTTGATTTTCGTATTTTTCAATTTTTCAGTTTTTTAGTTCTTCTGATTTTGTAGGAATTTCAGTTTTCAATTTTTCCAATTTTTTAATTTTGGATTTTTTAATTTTTGATTTACGATTCAATGTTTCGATTCTTCGACATTTCGGTTTTAGATTTTTAAGTTTTTCAAATTTTCGATTTTTCGATTTTTCAAATTATCGCTTGTCAATGTTTTTGTTCTTCGATTTCTCGATTAAATTTTTTTTCATTTTTCATACATATTTTCAATGTTTGATTTCCCGATTTTTCGAATTCTGGATTTCTTCATTAATCGACTTTTCGACTTCAATTTCCCGATTTTTTATTGTTGTAATTTCTCAATTTTTCAGTTTTTCATTTTCTAGAATTTTCAAGTTTTCGATTTTATATATTTTGATTTCTTTATTTTTGAAATTTTTATTCTTCAATTTCTCGATATTTTTATTGTTCAAGTTCTTAAATTTTAGATTTTTCGATTTGTCAATTTCTCGATATCTCAATTTTTCAATTTTTTGTTTTTTGAAAGTACAGATATTTCGGTTTTAAATTTTGAATTATCCGATTTTTTGATGTTTTAGATTTTCGATTTTTTTAATTTTGGATTTTTTGATTTTGGGTTACGATTTTTTGATTTTTCAATTATTCAATTTCTCCATTTACCGATTTTTTTTCATTTGAAAATTTTCACGATTTTTACATTTTTCAAATTCTCGCTTTCTCGATTTCTCGGCTTTTGGATTTTTCGTTTTTGCAATTTTTTAATTTCGATTTTTATAAATTTTAGGTTTTTCGATTTCTCGGCATTTCGATTTTTCAGTTTTTTGATTTTCCAATTTTTCCATTTTTCAATTTCGTTTTTTATAAATTTTACACTTTTCAATTTCTCAATTTCTCGTTTTTCCGATTATTCAGTTTTTAGATTTTTCATTTTCCAATTTTTTAATTGTTACGGTTTTCGGTTTTTCAAATTTTAGATTTCTCAATGTTTTGGTTCTTCAGTTTTTTGATTTTTCAATTTTTCCATTTTTCGAATTTTCAATTTTTGTCGTTTCTAAATTCGATCTCTAAATTTTTCGATTAGTCGATTTTTTAGATTTCGAGTTTTTGATTTCTCGAGTTTTCGATTGATTTTTCGATTTTTCTATTTTTTGATTTTCCCATTTGGCGATTTTCCGACATTTCCATGTTTTGATTTTCGGATTTTTCAATTTTTCAGTTTTTTAGTTCTTCTGATTTTGTAGGAATTTGAGTTTTCAATTTTGGATTTTTTAATTTTTGATTTACGATTTCAATGTTTCGATTCTTCGACTTTTCGGTTTTAGATTTTTAAGTTTTTCAAATTTTCGATTTTTCGATTTTTCAAATTATCGCTTTTTCAATGTTTTTGTTCTTTGATTTCTCGATTAAAATTTTTTTCATTTTTCATACATATTTTCAGTGTTTGATTTCTCGATTTTTCGAATTCTGGATTTCATCATTAATCGACTTTTCGACTTCGATTTCCCGATTTTTTGATTGTTGTAATTTCTCAATTTCTCGACTTTTCAGATTTTTAATTTTCCAATGTTTTGATTTTGTACTTTTCACCTTTTCTCAATTTTTCAATTTTATATTTTTAAGAATTTTCAACTTTTCGATTTTATATATTTTGATTTCTCTATTTTTGAAATTTTTATTCTTCAATTTCTCGATATTTTTATTGTTCAAGTTCTTAAATTTTAGATTTTTCGATTTGTCAATTCCTGGATATCTCAATTTTTTTCAATTTTTTGTTTTTTGAAAGTATAGATATTTCGGTTTTAAATTTTCAATTATCCGATTTTTTGATGTTTTAGTTTTTCGATTTTTTTAATTTTGGATTTTTTGATTTTGGGTTACGATTTTTTGATTTTTCAATTGTTCAATTTCTCCATTTTTCAATTTTTCGAAATACCGATTTTTTTAATTTGAAAATTTTCACGATTTTTACATTTTTCAAATTCTCGCTTTCTCGATTTCTCGGCTTTTGGATTTTTCGTTTTTGCAATTTTTTAATTTCGATTTTTATAAATTTTAGATTTTTCGATTTCTCGGCATTTCGATTTTTCAGTTTTTTGATTTTCCAATTTTTCCATTTTTCAATTTCGATTTTCATAAATTTTACACTTTTCAGTTTCTCGATTTCTCGTTTTTCCGATTATTCTGTTTTTAGATTTTTCATTTTCTGATTTTTTAAATTTTACAGTTTTCGATTTTTCAAATTTTAAATTTCTCAATGTTTTGGTTCTTCAGTTTTTTGATTTTTCAATTTTTCGAATTTTCAATTTTTGTCATTTCTAAATTCGATCTCTAAATTTTTCGATTAGTCGATTTTTTAGACTTCGATTTTTTGATTTCTCGAGTTTTCGATTGATTTTTCGAT